AATTATATATAAATTTGTTATATCAAGAAAACCTTAATGTATTAAAATATAGATATAATAAAAAAAACCTTTAACTTCAGAGATTTATTATATTAATCTTATACTATAATATTAAATTAGTTTTTATTTTATTAAAAAATCTATCTATTTAAATATTATTATATAATCTTATAATAATTCATAATAATATATTCTTAATACAACTATACTTAATATTATTTTTAAAATTATAACTAAATTATATTGTTAAATTAAATAACTATATTATATAACTATATACAATACAATAGATCTGTTTTTAGTTTTTTAACTTTATCAGACTTAATATAAATAAAATTATTTCTATTATTTTAAACTTATTGTCTAAAAAAAATAATTATAATATTTGGTATCAAATTTTTATTTTATTTTAATTATTAAATATATTACAAAATTTGAATTTATTATTATATTTCAAGATTTACAGTTTATTTTCTATTTTTAATTTACTTTTTAATTTTATTTTATACTTGTTTTAACTATTTTTTTTTAATTCTATTAATTTTAAAATTAATTTTTAATATATGCAATAAATCAAATATCAAACTAATCTTTTTAAGTATAATTGTTAATATTCAAATCTAGATAAATCTTAATTACTCAATTTGTTTATATTGTAGATAAATTAGTTTAAGCTTCTATTTATTTTATAATATTTAAAAATAAAATTTGTTTTATATAAAAATTTTAATTAAATATTTAATTAAGTTAAAAGCATAACTTTACTGTTAATATTAAAAAAATATTATAATCTTTTTTTAAAATAATAAGGATATAATAACCTAATAAAATAAATAAGTTGTCAACTTTCAATTGGCAAGTCTAAGGTCCAATTTTTATAGATATTAAATTTTAAAAATTATAATTATATTATATTAACTGTCTCTTGTTAATCAGTTGAATTTAAATATCTATAATCTTAGATACATCAAATTGGATATTATCTAATATTAAAAGCTTGAAATATTTATGTAAAGTGTAATATTATATATATTTAAAGGAATATAAAAAACTAGTTTTATATAAGACTTTGATGCAAATTTGTAATAAGATCACTAAGCATAAAAGACAAAGAAACTAAGAAGATAAAAACTTACTTGAAAATCTCAAACAAAAAAATAATACAAACTTTTAATAGTATTGATGAACTAATAAAAAGTTATAAACCAATTTTAAAGAAATTGTTAAATAAATTAGATAATAGATATATAAAGAAAATATATATACTATCCAAACTACTAATATCACTGAAGAAAAAAAATATATAAGTATGCTACATTGAGTTATTTGAATTGGTAGTTTGAGAAGTCCTATTAATTTTGAGTAGCAGTTAGTAAAGACAGATAAAAATAATATTAAAAAGATAAATATTAAGATTTGACTAAACTTTATAAGAGTAAAAATAGTTTAATGAATAATTTCAACTACAAATATTAGTTCTAACTATAGTAAAAACTAGGTTTACTTTAAGAATAAAAATAGTTTTATGAATCATAGACCTAAGTTTATAATAAGAATTTAGATTTTGAGCAATTTAATGAAGTTAATATAGAAGGTTCAAATAGAATATCAAAGTAAGGGTATTAGGTATAATAACTAATAAAAAATCTTTGAATGAATTCTTAAATTAGTATAAAAAGTTATATATATAAATAATTGTATATTCTTTTGTAATAGTTTAATATAAATATATATTTGTATAAATATGTATTTAACAAAAATAGTAATAAAATCAAAAGACCAAAAAGGTTATCTTAATACTGTTAGGTTTAAATAAATGCAACTTAGTTACTTTATAATTCAAAATCTAATATAATGTATGATAAATAATTTTTTTTAAAGAGTATATTAAATTTGACTAATAGGTAATTAAAGCTTTCAGTTATTTAGATTTAATAAAAATTAGTAGAATAACAAGAACTTAAATAAATGATAATATTATAAGAATTTGCAGATTTATACTGAAATAATATTAAGATTTTATTATAAATAATATAATATATTAAAACTTATTTTTTTTATTAAATTAAACAAACCCTCTTTGTTTTTAGGATGATAATGTCTTTTATTTATAATTACTTTTTAATTATAACTGATTTAATTATATAAACTGCTTTCACACTTTCTTTATTTAATTTGACTTTTTTAATTTATTTACCTAAATCTTATAATGATTAAATCCTCTTTGTTATTAAATTTTCTTTTATTATTAAATTCTTTTTTCTTAATATATTTAATTAATTAAATTAATGTAATCAATTGTTAAAATATCTATATCAATGAATTGATTACTATATCTACTCTCATATAAAATTCTAACAAAGTATTTAAATCAGTTATTAAACCTAACAATACCAAAAAAAATTTAAAATAATTAAATAAGTAAATTTGTAATAAATAAAAAATAATATTTAAATTTTATATCAGATTTATTTGTATAATAATTATTTCCAATACATACAGCTTTACTATATAAAACAAAAACATAATCACTTTTCAAAAGTGGAAAATTATCTAATCTATTTGTATTCTAAATATTAGAAACTATTAGATAATTATTTTAAAATTAGAAATAAAATTTATTATATTAAATCTTAATAAAATCTGTTTAAAATTTTAGAAACATAAAATTTAAAATTAAAAATTTAAATTCTTTTATGTTAAAAAGATTATAACAAAATTTGACAAGGCATTTTTATAGACAAGATTTTGCAACTGATTTTTTTACTTTTTACATTATACCTGATCTTGCAATTTGATTGGCTGCTGTAATTCTAAAATCAGTAAGACTGTCACTAAATTAATCCAACTTTCATATAATCTATAGTGGCTAAGTCAAAATAGGCATGTTAGATTTGACTAAATGGTTTATTTGTAGGTAAGTTCTAATCTTTTCTTTAGGGCTTTCCTTTAACCTAGTCTTCTACTAACTCTTTGTCTTCTCTTTACCTTCTCTTTATCTTCTCTTTATCTTCTCTTTATCTTTTCTTTATCTTCTTTTTATCTTCTTTTTATGACTCAACTCAGGATTACTCTTCATTGAATCAGAGTTGAAAATCTTCTATAATGTTAACAGTCTTGTCATGTAACTTGTGATGAGTGATCAACTTGCAAGTTTAGGAATTTAGTTAAATAAACAATAGGAATAACAACAGAGTTTACAATAGTTTATTAGTTGGTATAATGTAGACTATTAATTTTATTAAAGATCAGGTATTTATTTGTTATTAGGAATTTATTGTTATTAGGGAATTTTGTTGTTAGGAAGGCAGGAATTGTTTTCTTCCCAAGACAAAAATGCCCTTTATTTATAATAATCATTTTGTTTACATTTGCAGTTAATTTTTCTCATAAATGCATTATGTTTCTTATATTCTATATCCTAACTAAGTCTAATAAAACACTAATATTTCATTTAACCCATATGTAGGCAAAGTTGTAGAAGTGATGTAAGTAACATAAGTGATGTCTGTGTAAACTTAGATTGAGCAGGATCAACATCTTGATATGGACACCCATAACTAGTAATGGGTCCAGTTACAGTCATAACTGTTTAACCATGATCATTAATCGTAACTGATAATGACCAGTCAGAGCAGCTTAGCTGACCAGTTGACCAGTACTATCTACTTAATAAAAATAATAAATACTTTAATCATTGTATCATTTGACATGAAATACATATCAGCAACATTATCTGATTATCTAATTAATAGAAAATCTATTATCTATAATTCTGATCAAAATTGCAAATTTCTGATCAGATTTAAAATTGATGACCAGAGTAAAATTACCACCCAAAAGTTTCAATCATCATATGATAAAATATCAAAATATAAACAAAAATTTAAACTAACAAAATAATAACTATAATAAATTAATCATTTTATTTATTTCATAAACTCAATAAATGTAATGTTTATTATAACTGAAAAGTATTATGATTATAGTTTTTCTGAGTATTTAAAATAGTTGCAGTAATTTTAGCAAAAACTCTTTCCATAAATTATTTTTATACAAAATAATTAAAAATCTGGCAGTACTAAAATCGATAATATCTAGTTATTTTATTAAGATAACTAACTTTGGCATCTTAAATAAACTTGTTCAACTACTAATTTTACATATATTCTAAAAGTTTTAAAGAGATAGCTCTCAAACTCGCAGTTTAACACTACAATAAGTGTCTTTGGGCTTTTAAACTCTTTCTTTAATTATTTCTCGACAACTAGCTTTATAACCTAATCTATAGTTCTATGAATAGTTGTAGAGCTCATTTCTCCAATCAAAACAAGGTCTAAATGAACTTAATAGGCCTAATATTAATGGAGATATCTTAAAAAATAGCTTTAACTCTCTTGTAAACTCCTTAAAAAATTCTTTTTCATTTACTCCCAACTTTTTTTTCTCTTACACGATTTTTGTGTAATATTAAATCATTACTACAATCGTTTTCATAGTAAATCAATTAATATTACTTAAAATAGCATATATTTTCCTATTGGTTTTTCTTCTTTTACTAATTTGACTTTGTATACTATTACAAGACTTTTTTGTGACATGTAACTAATTGTTACATTAAGCCACACTTGCTACACCAGCCACACCTTGTATTACATAGGTTACACAAAATTGTTCTTAAGATTACACAAAGCCGCAACAGTCACAGTAGCCACAATATTACATCATACCCCTATCAAGCCAACCCTTATTGTTATAAATCTTATATATTAAAAACTTCAATAGTTAATAACAAAAAATTTTATTGACATTAACTTTCATTCTTAAATATACCTGTAGTATTTTTTTTTTCTCTATCAAATAGAATGCCTACCTTGACTTCCCAAGAGCCAGATCATTTTGATCTTGACTATTTTCATAACAAGTATAATGATCGTTATGGTACAATGATTAGAAAAATGCAACCTACACAACTTAAAGTAAAGCCATTTGCATTTAATTCATCTGAATACAATATCGTCAAATCTTTTCATTACTTTAAAACTCCTACTCAAGCTATTATTGTCTGCTATTACTGTCAAAAATTCCATATTCTCTTCACTTCTAGCAATCTTAACATTATACCTAGACAAGCTACTCCTCCTCCTTCTTCTCAAAAATTCATATATATGGATATTGATATCACACCTAAACAAGTCAAACAACTTAAAGAAATTATTCCTCAATCACCTATTGCAAAAACAACTACTGTTCC